CGGGCATTTTATTTTATTTCGGGAATTTTAAAGCTTTAGGGAGGGAAGGATTTTTTATAGCCAACCAAACAGTAAAACCAATAAATCATAAAAACACAATATTATCTTAAATTATGATGGGCCCTATCATAAAATAACATAATAACGATTAAACTGGTTATAGATTCTGCTTGGAGAAAGGATCTGGAAACGCGTTATCTCGTTGTTTACTTTCAAAATTCGCGTACTGGCATATCTATGTATAAGAAAAATAAACAAATATTGGTGTCATTATTGATTCACGTGTCACGAATATGTTACAAAAATTTGATTGGATATTAGAAACGTTACTAATCACATTTTCTTGTGGCGATTAAGCTCTAGTTTTTGTTTGGAAAATACTTGCTAACCTTCTTTCAACCAAATTTTTTGATTTTTCTGCTAGAAACATAAGCTCCGATTTTTCTATTAGCCGCATTAACGAAATTACAAGTATATTGAATAAAAGGAACGTGATGAGTTTACGATTTGAGGTTTGAAATTTATTTAATACAATAATTGTAATACAATGGTTTTTCTCCTTTTGTATTGGTACTAACTTATACACTGCTAATTCTAATCTTGTCCTACAAGCAAATCGATCAGAATTATCGTGTCGAGATCATGAGCATTCTGGTGAACCAGAATCGTTATGGGGAAAATCAACTGGTACCAGAACACAAAGGGACCCCGTAATATTTACAAACAAAAAGAAAAATAGAAGAAAAAAAGACGCGAGGTTCGTCTTATAGTGCCCTTTTTTCTTTTGAGTTGTTTTCCCTCGATATTTTAGGGCAAAAAAGCTTATGGATATTCTCATGTATTGGCGGCTACTGAATACTGTAGTGTGAAAATCAAATAACAATTGTTTCGTCATGAGATTTTTATAGTTTTTGCTTAAATTTGTATTTATCATTTTTATTATGTAATGAGTGTGCAAGAATGTATAAAAGAAAGAAGAAATTGAATAAATGAAAAATAATCAAGTCCAGTTAGAAAAGTTTTTTCGGTCAACATCAATTCCGCTTCACCATAAATAAAACACTTATCATCGTTACGCGAATCCGAACTTTCCTTAGCGACAGACTCGCCGATCACCGTTGCAATATAATTGATGTAATTTTACCCTCGAGAGGTTTTCCGACCAGAAACTTGTCCGCCACAGACTTTAGATCCATAATACGCCCACCAACCAATTCATATAATTTTTTTTGCTTCTTCAGAGTTGATCTTACGCTTGTTAACCAGATAATCTATAGATTCCTTTTCACTGAGATCTCTGATTTCTATCACCGGTTTATCCGCACGTAACCAGGCACTACGTGCTAAAAATAAGAACTAAAATCTAAATCTTTAAATAAAAATAATAATTTTCGAGAGCACAGAAATAACATCGGTACTTACTTACATTCCATTCTTCTAGACACCGAACCTTCAATGCTAACAAATACAGTGATATACAGTACTTTCTGTCATCGACATTATCCTTGGCATCATCTTGAAGGATGTCGAGGATTTCCGGATTTTTATAAACCAATCGGCTAATATTATCGTAAATGATAATCGGTGGTTTATTGTTCTTTTCCTTATATACTGCACTGGCACGCTTAAAGGCTTTTAGAGCTCTCTCCATTTAGAATTATTAAATTTATCTAGCAAAAAAGAAAATAAGAATCCAAATAAACAATAAAGCAGGACTGAAAACTTACTATTGGTTTCACCTAATACTTTTCGCATCAGCTATTCCGTAAAAGAAATCCTTCCCTCAAGTACAAAGTTAATAGCTTTTCCGAAAGCTTAATCATTGATATTCGCAGGAACATCGATGTACAGTATATGACTCCATGTCAAACTTTACTCGATGCAATCCTTGTCAGCGTAGTTTTCTGTTCCATGTTCACCGCAAACTATATGATAAAATTATTGGTTTCTATGCGGTTGAAAAATTTTTTTAAGGTGATCTATAACTAGAGGTCGAGAAATAAGATCATCTTCTAGAGCATCAATTTTAGGTCGAGTTTACTTTTCCAAAAAATCGTTGAGAAGACGTTCTTTACATCCCTTTCGGTACCAAGCATATAAAAGGTCCACTGATATAAGACCAACAAGACCAGTTACAATTAAGTTCGCCAATATAGCAGTCTACGTACAATAGCGAAAAGGTGTTGAAAAACATGATCGAATAATGCATAACAAATAACAATAAATATCATACCGGAAGCCATATTGCAATGTATTTTGTGGATTTTTCAGGTAGGAGGACGATGTAGACTCTTCGGGAGACGTGTGGGGGAAGGTGAAGACTTTGCATAAGGTCTCGAAAGTGATGATTGAAATAAGTCAGGTCTCGAGTTCCTCAACAGAAGACTCGGCGACTGAAGGAATCGTACTCGACGGTTAACGAGGTGAGTTGGAAAACCGACCCTATGAAAGTGTGAAGAAATTGGTGATTAAAAGAGATGATTCTTTCCTTGATCACAATTACACAAAAATCACGCGATCCGCAGTATCATTCAGGAAAATACGAGACAAAGCTAAAGTTGATATACTGGACGTGTCAATTATGTAATCAAGGTAGACATTTTATTTCGGTTGTACAGTATCAGCTTTCATTATATTCTTGGTGATAATCCCACATATGTGATAATTGTTAGGTTTAAAGGAGTAAATTATTCTTTAATAAAAATAATACACATAATGATAAATTATTTAAAGTTTTAAGTTTATTCAATAAGTCCTAGCTCTCAACGATTATTTAGAATGACTGAATACAGATCCTTATAATACCAAACCTATCTTAGAGCAATCCAAATTTCTTCACAGAGTTCCTTTTTGATCTGATCACGTATCAACTGCTTTTCAAATTCTTCTGAAAATGTTGTTTGCCTTGTACTTCTATAGCAAATCCATACTGTCGAGTTTTAGTCATCGAGGATGTTAGGGTATTCTTAAGAAATCTGGTCGGCGGATGTTGGTATGTGGACCTAGAACATTAGTTATGACTTATTATTTGTAGGATTTGTTAAACATCAACAAAATAAAAAGGTCTAATTCCCTCAAAACAAAACTGCTATTATAAATGCCAACCCATCACCTTTTTACAAGTTAAGATATATTAAATTGTAAATTTTAGTAATATTTATTTTAATTATTGACACTAATTCATAGCAACCGACTTTCTATGCTATATGTATAGAAGATTTAAAAGTACCGCTGGTTTGCAACAGTATGAAACAACCAAACGTGCAACACGTAATCTAATATAAAATAATATTGAATAAGTACGAAAGTCGGATGTTTGTTATTTGAGATATTTTATAGCCAACAAATTACAAAAAAAAATCAAGAATTATTATTATATGATTTAAGAGCAGTGCTTTCATTACATTGTAATAAAGATATGTTCATTGGAATTTTTAAATATTATACTAATGATATTTATTCTGTGGTTCTTATTATGTTTGTTATTTCAAGGGTGAAGAGGTTATAAAATAATGGATCATTTTTTATATTATAATTATTGAAGTATATATGTGAGAAACTATTTAAACCCATTCTACTACTAAGGTTTCTAAAGCTGAGTTACAATAATTTGATTCAAGTTTCTCTCTTAAACATTACAAAACAAACTCACAATTCATCAATACACAGTCATATTGAAACAACTATTCAAACTTTCTCTTAATTTTTGTTATAGGAACTTTCTCTTTTATTGGAGATTTGATCTTTTCTTTATATACATGTTAGTCTCAGTAAAATTATAATAACTATCCTAATAACTTCTACTATAATTATTGTATCTATTATTTAAACTATAACCAAGAAAAGTTATATAATAAAGAAAAGAAATAAAAGAAATAAAACAACTATAGCAAAGGTAATTTATGTTTGAGAAATTTATGATTGTCATGACATCAGACCATATGACAATGCAAATATCCTCTCACATATAGAAATAAATATGGTTGAGGTCAATAGTTTTGAGAAAAATTACCAAAAAAGCAATACAAATAATGATTTGAATTTTTTTTTTGTCTTGAAATTGATATAATTGAGTTTATTTTCAGTTTATATATATTTTTTGAGTCCTTTTCTATTTCTTTAAATTCTATTTAATAAGTTAATATAATATTTTTTGAAGTAAAAAGTTTAAGAAAGTATTATATTTAAATTTGAGCTTGTTAAAAATTGTTTTAAAAAATGCAATAGATAGTTTTTATTTTTTGATAATTTGTAAAATTATTTGATACTGAAAGTAATGAATTAAGTAGTTTTTTTGTTTTTTCTTGAAAGGTTTTATATTGTTTTGGATCAGGGATTTGTTAAAGTTTATTTTGAATTAAATAGTCAAAAAAGGAAAATTATACTGTATATTAAATTGATACAATAAATTGATTATTATTGAAATAGGATAATTTAGATTAATAATATTAATGAAGTGAATGATATAAAATAATTGGTTTAAAGATTCGATGTCGCTAATATCTATAGTTCTGAAAGTCAGACACGCATAAGGTTCAGAACACTATTAAAAATCATGGTAGGATATAACCCACATATATAATTTAATATAAAAATGAGAATCTGAATCAAATCAAATCAAATCATTAGAATTCTTACTAATTTCTTTGAAGTCAAAAATAGTAATAAGGTTATTTAAAAAGTTTATATTAGGTTGAGGAATTTTCTTATTTAATTAGGAATGGAATCTTAGTGTTGTATTAAGATCTGAAATTTTCATTAAATTATCTAATATATTATTAATCTTAATATGATTATTATACTTAGATAATATTATAATAATTGGAAGGAAACTTGTATAAATTATTGTTGTTGCAGTTAAATAATAAGTTTTTTTTGTTACAAATGTTGCCATATTTTTAGAATGTAAAGTTGTCCCAACTAAAATGTATAAAAAGATGCAAGTAAAAATAAATAAATATCTTTTTACTCGGCCAAATCGAACACGTCTAAAAGTCATTAAATTCTCTACCTCATCGAAGGTTACGCAACACTACTCACTTTAGCGACAGATTCGCCGATCGACTGTCACAATGGTGGGCGTGAATATATAGGTAAAGTATCCCAAATAATACACAAATATAGTGTAGCAATTAAAGCAATTAAAGCATACTGTATATTATGGAGCAATTAAAGCAATTAATGCATACTGTATATTGTGGAGCGAGGCTGCTTATAATTTTTCAAATGAGGCGTGTAATTGATTTGACCGAAAAGATTTTATTTATTTTCTTTAGGTTGATCGTTCTTTTTTCATATTTTATTCATATTACATAACCCATTCATTTAACAGGCATAAACGGGTACGTGATTCGCCGGACTTTCTTCGATTATTATATACTGTATTTTTATGGTATCATTTCACATCTACATGTGTCGCCTTTCATTATTACGGCGTGTTTTGTACAAGTTAGATTTCGCGATTGTTCCGCGAAGACCGATCACTTAGCGCAAATCGCGTAACCGTTACTCATGCTACAATAGTAATAGGGAACTCATGGGTGTATACGGATTTGTAAAACCCTTGCGGGGATGCTGTATAGAGTATAAATTCTATCAAAAAGAATATACTGTATTCAGATCCTAAATTAATAAGTGCATGAATTGATGGAATGATTTATTATATAACCGACTCATTTTAATTGATAAAATTAAATTTTATTTGTTTAAACAATTTAATGTTTATGTTCTAAAAATCACAGCTCAAAATGTGGAAACCAATACTTTATCTAAAATATAAACTAAGCGTATGTAATTTTCGATAGAGTAAAGATTATTTAAAAAAAATGACAAAGCGTATAATTTCATACTACTGTTATTTCCCATCTTTACACTCAATCATCGCCCAAAATACGATTAACTATAGAACCTATCCCTTCTACCATAATGTATCCCTTGGCTACTCCTTTGGCGCCTTTAGAAGCTTTTTTAACAAACTTACCAAAACCTGCCTCAACATTAGTGCTCATACTAAGCACAAACATGAAGGTAAAAAAAAGTAAAATAAAGCGTCTGAAATTCATAATAAATATTCTTGACAAGTATACGGCATGCTCTAATTAGTGTTAATAAGTTCAAACAGATTTTATTCGTAAGTAGATTAAACATAACCAATAAGCTACAAATAACAAATACCTCTTATTTCAATTACGATTCGCAGTTCAAGAAGTAATCTAGTTAAGCCAAGTTTTTACTATCTTTCTTGAAAAATAAGCAAAGATTAGGACATTATTTAAGTGTAGTTAACGGGAGCTTCATTAACGTACCTATTCTACTAATTGTTTATGATTGATTACAGTATAAAGGGAATATCAGACGCATAGTAGTGGGCTTTATACTTGTCCAAGAACGAGTGTGTGAAAAAAGTTATGCATCTATAAATTGTGATGATCGAGTATAATTCCTTAAGTACGCAACATGCTTATCCATTAAAGGCTGAAAATGGGCAGTTCAGTTTTGATCAAAAATTTACGTGTAATTTGCTTGCGATTATACGATAGAGTTCAACCAAACCTGAAAATATTCTTTTGTAGAATTCCTTAGCGATGGAAAAATGTATATTGTAATAATTTCATGCACACCCATTGAAAGCTTGAAATGAAAAGGAAAAAGAAAATTTTTTAGCAAGAAAATCAGCATGTCATGAAGTTTGCATATACGTGACGATCTCGGAGATTGCGGAGATTTTGCTCACCTGTTGTCCCATTTTCAAATTATTATTTTTCGTAACAAAGTGGAAGATTGGGATATGGTGTATCTAGCACAGCAATAAAATAATGACATAAATAGTTTATCCAATAAGACTCCTTTGTCCCACATAAATAAAAATTTTTTTGAATATCTATCTGTTTTTTAAAAAATTTGAAAATTTTTAATTAAAAATATTATTAACCAAATTTGTTATAAAAAATTACATTATAATTATCCAGATTTAAATTATATATTTAATACAAATTTAAATACAAATTTTTTATTATATTAATATATTAATAATTTATAAAAATTCAAACCAATGATATTTTTTATATAAAATCCTAATTATACATATGAGTAATTATTTTCGAAGGCGGACCGGAAATTTTCTGGCGTGATTCTAAAATTTATATTATATATGTATTGTTTAAAAG